AAAATACACTTAGAATGACATTGTATATATATCTATCTATATATAAAATACAAATAACCGCAAATATATATATATATGTGTATATATATATACATAGAGAGAGAGAGATAAATACATACAATTACATAAAAGATTACATTAGTATACACGCAGAATTGAAATACCTATAAATGCATATATATTAAAATTCTATGTGTATATTTAAGTAATCTTTTAACATAATTATGTGATTTAATTAATTAATTAAAATTTGATTGACATGCCTGACAACACAGGGAGAAAGTGCAGAGAATTTAATTCACAAGCACTATATTTGACCCTTTAACTCTCCAAGACACCATAAAACCTGTATATAGGGGGTACTGTTTTACTCAGGAGACTTCGCTGAACTCAAATATTAGTGTTTCAAAATGATAAATTGTATTACAATGATGATATTTTAAGTAAAAGTGAAGTTTTTTGCATTTTTTACAAACGAACAGCACTTTTATGGACTATATTATTGTTGTAATATATTTTACTGTTTTAAAACACTAATATTTGTGTTTAGTTAAGTCTCCCGAGAATAACAGTACCCCCTATGTACAGGTTTTATGGTGTTTTGGAAAGTTAGAGAGTCACATATAAGGCTTGCATTTCATTTTTTTGACATTGAAATTTGCCAGATTGGTTATGTTGCCTTTGAGAGCGTATGGTAGCCCAGGAATGAGAATTACCCCCAAGATGGCATACCATTTGCAAACGTAGACAACCCAAGGTATTTAAAGTGGGGTATGTCCAGTCTTTCTTAGTAGCCACTTAGTCACAAACACTGGCCAAATATTAGTTTTTTGCTTTTTTCACACAAAAACAAATATGAACGCTAAATTTGGCCAGTGTTTGGGACTAAGTGGCTACTAAAAAAGACTAAACATACCCCACTTTAAATACCTTGGGTTGTCTACTTTTTCAAATGGTTTGCCATTATGGGGGTAATTCTCATTCCTGGGCTACCACACAATCTCAAAGGTAATATTAATAATCTGGAAAATTTCGATTTGAAAATGTAATGTGGTATATTTGACCCTGTAACTTTCCAAAACACCATAAAACCTGTTAATAGGGGGTACTGTTGTACTCATGAGACATTGCTGATTACAAATATGTGCATTTTTTTGTAGTAAAACCTAACAGTATTATGACATTAACACCTAAAATGTCAGACGGAAATACAAATTTTGTAAAAAAATCTTATTTTCTCACATTTTTTTTAATTTTATTCATAATAAATTATCTTCCATATATGCATAGTTAATGCTAAATTAAAGCCCTGTTTCTCCTGAACAAAATGATATATAATAAGTGTGGGTGCACTTAATGTGACAGCGTTGAAGTACGGTTGAACAGACATATAGCGCAAATTCCAGTTTTTGTTAACAAGTGACAAAGAAAAAATGTAAAATAAAGTGTAAAGAAATAAAAAAAGGTGGGATATGGATTAGATACTTTGTAATTTTAGGAATCTGTGTAGGAGATTTTGACAGTAGAAGATGGTAGCTTTCCACATGAGTTTTTTATGAGAAATATATATTGCAAAATGCTTTTTTATTTATGAACAACAGACAACTTACCACAATTTATCTTCAAATATTAGAGGTTGTGCACTCTTTGTATATCTCTTTATGGATTATTTTCTGTGTAAATATCATCTGTTGTTGCTGTATAATCAGGAATCTTGAAGGGTTATAGTCATCCTCACTTTTTCTTCCATCTTCTTCCCAATCTCGACTGGTATGATAGGTAGCACATCCTTGTGTTCCAGCATAAAGATCACAGCTGAGATCTCGGCTGTCATGTGTATACCTGCAGTAATGACTATGAACACTCAACACTTACTTGGTTTCATCTGATTAACAATTTGTCCAAATGTTGTGCGATAGGTGAGCTGGCATCTAGTAACTCTGACTCACCATGTATAAATCAGTGGACTGTCTAACAGATAGATAGCTATAGCATAGGACAAGGCATGGCAATGACAGTGAAAAGACATACATAGGGGACAACATCAAAGCTAGAGAGGGGTACCATGCTACTTAAAGTTTAGTCAACAAGGAGAATAGTCCTGCCTGGAGATAAACTGGAGAGCCAGTGGAAAGACTGACACAGTACAGAAACTGATGGAGAATACTGAGTATTCAGTATAAATGAGTATAGCAGGAAAGTTCATGATGTGTTGGACTGTAATATCTACAATAGATTGATCCTGAAGCAGTAAGCAGCAAGAGTTACCAAGTGCTTAAATGTAATGGAAGAAAATAGTGAAAACAAAAAGGTTCTTAAGATATTCTTTTCAAACTTCAGTAACAGCCTACAATGATCTAAGTAGCAGGTGGTTAGTATAAATCTATTGATTTAAATTGGCCATTATGGCTATGTACAAATCATTTGAAAACTACATTCCCAGAAGTGCTATCAAATTTGTACAAATATCCATAAATGCGTTATTTTGACATTTCCAAACACCAGGCTCACATCACTCTGGCCATCTCTTTAAGGGCACACCATACAAATAGCTATGCTGGCTTGGATTACCAAAGAAAAAATATCAGGACTGTGGGCAAGAGCCTAATATTTGAAACATAACTCTGTATTCAGGACAATTGGTAGGCATGTGATCTTGTGTAGTAGTAGTAAAAGCCCAATATATTTAAGAGGCTGGAATAGTTTAATTTGCTCTAAATTTTAAAAAGCATGTTAGTAAATAATTGTGCAAATAAACTTTAAATGTCCAGCATGAATGTATATGTTACATCTCAATGTATTTTTTTTTTTACTAATATGTAAAATGCAGTTACTTAAAATTGTATAATCTAAAAGTATTTTGAAGGCGTTTGTACAGAAATGTTACCTGAAAACCTATTGCAGCCACTCTTTGTGTGCTTTTCAAATCTACTCATTATTGCCACCCTGTGTCTCTCCTTTTCAAATCTTCACACACAATTACAAAGAATAAAAACTCCTGGGAAATATTCGAGGAAAGCTTTCAGTGAATTGGTCCCTTGAGTGCAATAGAGTTTAATATTCTGACATTTCCAGAATTTCATTCTGTGTCCAATTAATTTTCCTGCCCCTTTTTACTAACTCCTGTTATCTAAAGGATTAAGCTGCCATCACAAGGTTTTAATAAGAAAAACTGCAAAAAAGTCTGTTGAAATTGACGTCTTCTGAAGCTTTCTTGGCTGTATTAGAACTCTCTCAGATGATAATATGAAGTGAACCATTTCATGTTCTAAGCAGTATTTTCAACTATATTTATCAGTTAGTGATAGTCCCAGCTGGAAATATCTTTCCCAATTCAATATTATGCTTTCATTGTCTTTGGTTTAAAAAAAAAAAAAAAAAAGAACAATTTAAATGTTTTAATTTGTGCAATTTTCTAATTTTCTCTACATAAATTATTACTGTATACAGTACTTTTATGAGAAATATATATTGCAAAATGCTTTTTTATTTATGAACAACAGACAACTTACCACAATTTATCTTCAAATATTAGAGGTTGTGCACTCTTTGTATATCTCTTTATGGATTATTTTCTGTGTAAATATCATCTGTTGTTGCTGTATAATCAGGAATCTTGAAGGGTTATAGTCATCCTCACTTTTTCTTCCATCTTCTTCCCAATCTCGACTGGTATGATAGGTAGCACATCCTTGTGTTCCAGCATAAAGATCACAGCTGAGATCTCGGCTGTCATGTGTATACCTGCAGTAATGACTATGAACACTCAACACTTACTTGGTTTCATCTGATTAACAATTTGTCCAAATGTTGTGCGATAGGTGAGCTGGCATCTAGTAACTCTGACTCACCATGTGACTGAACCACTGAACAATTGAAACAAAAAATTAACCAGACATTTCATTTGTTTCATGATTCAGAGTTCCATTGTTGGCACCATAAAAAGAGGGGTGGAATAGAGAAAAAGATGCAGGGTTTTCCTGGGGGAGGTGGGAGGGGGGGCAAATAATCAGCTTAGTTTGCCATGATGGACAAGGGATCTGCCTAATAATGTGTATTCTATTTTCTGTTCAATCAAGAGGTAAAAAAATTATTGATGTTTAGGGGACAGCAACTAAATGTTGGTTTTATTCACAAATCAAGTGACAATTGACAGAGGGAAAACGGGACACACAGTAAAACATCTATATATTTCCATGCAGGACTCTTTCAGGCAATTTGACTTTTCTCGCTATTGAGCAATATAGCTCTGCAGACAGTAGACCTCAGTATTAATTCTCCCACCAGTGCAATAATCATGCTGTCTAATCATCATCTTGATATGCCACACCTGTGAGGTGGATGGATTATCTTGGCAAAGGAGAAGTGCTCACTAACACAGTTTTTAGACAGATTTGTGAACAATATTTGAGAAAAATAGGCCTTTTGTGTACATCGAAAAAAGTCTTAGATCTTTGAGTTCAGCTCATGAAAATGAGGGCAAAAACAAAAGTGTTGCGTTTATAATTTTGTTCAGTCTATTTTGTTTTTGGAGCTGATAACATAATGATAATTGTCATATCTATCCTGTTCTGTTGTATCTGCTCTCAGAAATGAAGTCATTCAAATGTTTTATTGGAAACTGTCCATTTACAATGAAAAGTCCCATGACAGGTCATTTGTTTTTGGTAATAAATGTATGCAGGGGCGGACTGAGAGCCTTTGGGGCCCCCGGGCAAAATTAGATCCCAGGCCCTTTGAAGGCCAAATATACGTGCATTAAATAAATGTTAAATATAACTCATAATACGGCATTCCTTTGGATGTGTATATTGTGAAGACCTGTGTATCAATGCATGTTTGTATTTGAGTCTGTGTGAATGCACTTGTGCATGTCTGGATGACTACATGTGCTTTTTTGTATATAGTGTCTGTGTGAATGCATATGTGACAGGTGACAGAGTGTGTGAGGGAGAAGGTGACAGGTGGAAGAGTGTGGGAGGTTGTGGCAGAGTGAGGGAGGGAGGGGTTGAGTGGTGGCAGAGTGAGGGGGAGACACAGTGAGTGGGGGTGACTGGTGACAGAGTGAGGGAGTGGGTGACTAGTGACAGAATGAGGGAGGGAAGAGATGACTAGTGGCAAAGTGAGGGAGGGAAGGGGTGACTGGTGACAGAGTGAGGGGGGGGGTGACTGTCATTAGTCACCTCATCCCTCTCTCTGTCACTAGTCACTCCCTCCCTAACTCTGTCACTCGCTCCCTCACTCTGTCACTAGTCACCCCCTCACTCTGTCACTGTCACCCCCTCCCTCCCTCTGTGACTAGTCACCCCCTCACTCTGTCACTAGTCACCCCTCCCTCACTCTCACTAATCACTCCCTGTCCCTAGTCACCCCCTTCCTCACTCTGTCACTAGTCACCCCATCCCTCTCTCTGTCACTAGTCACTCCCTCCCTAACTCTGTCACTGTGAAGGAAGGAAGGGGTGACTGGTGACAGAGTGAGGGGATGACTGGTGACAGAGTGAGGGAAGGGATGACGAGTGGCAGAGTGAGGGAAGGAAGGGATGACTGGTGACATAGTGAAGGAATGACTGGTGACAGTGAGGGGGGTGATTAGTGACAGTGAGGGGAGTGACTAGTGACAGTGGGGAGGTGACTAGTGACAGTGAGGGGGGTGACTAGTGACAGTGGGGAGGTGACTAGTGACAGTGAGGGATGACTAGTGACAGTGGGGGGTGACTGGCTGATGACAGTGAGGGTGTGGAGGGGGGGTGACTAGTGACAGTGGGGGTGACTAGTGACAGTGGGGATGACTAGTGACAGTGGGGGGGTGACTAGTGACAGTGGGGGGGTGACTAGTGACAGTGAGGGGGGTGACTGGTGACAGTGAGGGGGGTGACTGGTGATAGTGAGGGGGGGGAGGGGGTGGTTGGTGCCTACCTGCATCTCTGCTCCCTCTTCTCTCCCCGCCTGCTGCTCCTTCTCCATGCTGGGCTCTGTGTGAGAGGAGTAAACAGGAAGTGATGTCACTTCCTGGCCCGCCTCTCCCATCACACAGAGCCGCATGGGAGAGGAAGCAGGAGACCTGGCAGGGAGGAGGTGAAGCTGCCAGGTCTCATGGGGGGGGGGATGTGCAGAGCGGTAGGTTGTGGGGCCCCGCGCTGCATCAGGGGCCCCACAACCTATCAATTAAAAAGTTTTATTTTATTATTTTTCCGTTCCAGCTGGAGAGATCTCTGATCTCTCCAGCTGGAGCATGGCTGTGCTGCCGGGCCCCTGACTGCCTCGGGCCCTCGGTCCATGACCGAAGTGCCCGAGTGGTCAGTCCGCCCCTGTGCATGTGTGTTAATCTCTGTATCTAGATTTGTATCAGTGTTTGCTTCTGAGCATCTGTATATCTAGATGTGCGTCAGCATTTGCTTCTATGTGTCTGTGTATCTACATGTGTGTCAGTGTTTGTATCTGTGTGTCTATGTATCTGCGGCAGTGCTTGTATCTGCATCGTGTCAGTGTTTGTATCTGTGTATCTAGATGTGTGTCAGTGTTTGCTTTTGTGTGTCTGTGCATGTGTGGCAGTGTTTGTATCTGTGTATCTGTATGTGTATCAGTGCATCTGTGTATCTATATATGTGTCAGTGTTTGGTTCTGTGTATTTGTGTATCTAGATGTGTGTCAGTATTTCTGAATTTCTCTAAGCTCTAAGAGACCTGAGAAGGTACTTACCGAAGGGCAAGCTACTGAGTTTTTCTAAGCTTTTCTGTTTTTTGTTCTCATGGTTTTTTTTTGCAATAGTTTAACTTGGCACTCCCCAAGTTAAAAGGGTAGTCCAGATGTGGGCCCAGTGTTCACTGTGCCTAGAGAGGTATTAGCTACACATTGCTGATAAGGGCAGATGAGATACAGGAAAAGTCTGGGGCAGAGGAGAATCAGGAAGAGCCTAACACTGGAAAAAATAGGAGATGGGACAGAGAAAAATTTATAAATTTGATATAGCAGCAACTATGTTAATTACAAACATTTTGCTAATAGGAGGGGTATAATTTGTGGAAATTCGCTACAAAGGGGTACACAAGGGAAAAAAGGTTGGGAACCACTGCCGTAGAGGAAAGTTATGCTTTATGTTCCTTAACAATATGGAGGATAGTGTTACTGTTCACATTTTTAAATGGATCCTTTAAGCATCAAAACAACTGTAACTTATTGAAGTGGTTTTGTTCACAGAATTTTCACACAATCTAAAAAAGAGTGTAAATATTTTAGCTTCCCTTATTGCAGAGTGTGTTTAACTTGAATTTCTTATTTCCTGCTCTGCTAATAGCATGCTAGTGTGATTACATTTCAATTAACAGAGCAGGAGATAATAACGTATAAATTAAACACAATGTGCTATGAGATCTCAAACACTTATTTCCACGAAGACTGTGCGAGTCACAATCAGGGGAGGTGTGGATAGGGTAACAGAAACAAAAGTGATTTAACTATGCACCAAAACTGTTCCATAAAGCTAATTTTGGTGCTTAGA